GTAGGGAAATACAATATAGTAAGCAAAAAATTCAAAAATCAGGTATTAAAGCAACATGACAGTTTTGTTTTTAATATATAAATATGCAAAGAATCCAAAAATATATATCCTTGAAAGCATATGATCCAGCAACTCCACTTCAGGGTACATATCCAAAGGAAACGAAATCATTATGTTAAAGGGATATCTGTACCCCGTGTTCATCACAGTACTATTTATAATAGCCAAGACATGGAAACAACCTCAGTGTCTATTGACAGATGAATGGTGGTCCAGTGGGTAAGACTGTGTGCTCCCAGTGTAGGAGGCCCGGGTTTGATCCCTGGTCGGGGAATGAGATCCCGCATGCATGCCGCAACTAAGGAGTCTGCATGTCACAACGAAGATTCTGTGTGCCGCACAGCCTAAATAAATAAATAACTATTAAAAAAATAAAAAGTGTGATGTGTATATATATGTAATATATATATGAATATTATTGAGCCATAAAAAAAGGAAATCCTGCCATTTGCAACAACATGGGCAGATCTTGACAAGGGCCTTACGCTAAGTGAAATAAGTCAGACCGAGAAAGACAAATACTGTATGATCTCACATGTGGAATATGTAAAAACCAAGCGCAGAGAGACAGAACAGATGGGTAGTTGCGGGCAGTCGGATGTACCTAATGTCAGCTTGTCCCACTGCTGATGGTATGAAGTTTGGTCGCTTGGTTGACATGGTGACCCCAGCTCTCTTCATGGTTAAGGTACTTTCCCCTTAAAATTCGTAATCTGATTATTTGAGATTTTGTGAATGTCCTGCTTCCCAACAATCTTTCATCCAATGGTTTTAGCATCTATTGATGATACTTGCCTTAATCAATTAATACACTGAAGGTGGCAAAACTGCGACTTTTATTCTATTATTTCTTCCACTTTTTTTTCTTTATTTGCTGACATTCCTCTTAAAGAAGAGATTCTCCCTTCTTGAGTTATTACTCCGAACTTATACATATTTTTTAAATTCAGTGCTTTTTTGTCCATTACATGTAGCTCCCTTAATCTTTGAGCACTTCCTTACTGTCTGACACAGAGTGCCTCAATGTCACATTTTACTTTCCCTGCCTAAGACCTGGAGCCTGCTATGTCTGTAGGAAGCCCTGGCTTCTTAGAGTGGGAAATGGTATTTAGAAACAAAGAACTGAGTGTGAGGTGTGCTCATTACTATTGGAGTACCATTGCTTCTGGGCCTCATTATAGACAGAGCTAGAAAAAAAATGAAGTGATGAATTCATGATTCCTCAGTTCAAATAAAAAAACCCAAGGAAGGGAGATGCAAGAGGGAAGAGATATGGGGACATATGTATATGTATAACTGATTCACTTTGTTATAAAGCAGAAACTAACACACCATTGTAAAGCAATTATACTCCAATAAAGATGTTAAAAAAAAAAAACCTAATTCCATCATTTCATATATTTTTTTCCCTTATCCCATGGTGAAAACCTTGGTTCTCCACATCAATTTATTTACTTGCCTGTACTATCATACAGTGAACAGATTCATTTCAGAAACACAATAATCAATAACACTGCCAACAATAAGCCTATTAAGTAAAGTTCAAGATACCTTTGCAACTTTTTTAATCTTAAGATATATTCTATTAAGGATGTCTTAGTGTTGTATTTATTATTTTAATGTATTTAAAACTTATTTGAATTAATTTATTACTGTGGCTATGTTATCTAGTATACAGTAAGATATACACTTCTTTTTGTATTCAGTGTTAAGGTTTTATTTTTCGTTTTATTTAATTTTATGTTTAGAATATAAAAAATTTACATAGCTTAAAAGTTAAAACTTTTTAAAAGTTCTAATCAAAGAAGTCTTGCTTGGATCTCTATTCCCTACACCCCACCTGCCTACCCCGTATAGGCAGCTATATTCATACATTTTTATTTATCCTCCCTTTCTTTTTCCAAATATGAGGAATTATATACATACATGTTTTTATTTCCCCATCTTTCTGATACAAAAGAGCATACTATGAACATTCTTTTGTATTTTGCTTTTTATCACTTGACAGTATATCCTGCAAATAACTTCATCTCAGTTCATAGAGATCTTTTCATTCTCTTTGATGGCTGCATAGTATTCCATTGTGTGGATGTACCATACTTTAACCATAGTGCCCTATGTGTGGACATCTGTGTTGTTCCTAATATTTTGTCATTACAAATAATGTAATGAATAAGTTGTATGTATTTTTTTTGTATTTGTAAAGGTGTTTTTTTCAGGGTAAATTTTAGCAGTGGGATTGATAGGTCAAAGGATTAATGCATATGTAATTTTGCTAGAAAATGCCAGATTCCCCTCCATATGGGCTATACCATTTTTTCACTCCCACCAGCAACATATGAAAGCACTTTCTTCTCATAGTCTTACCATAAAGTGTGTGTGTATGTATATACATATATATACATACATATATAGATTTGAAATAAATGTGTCCTTAAATAATAAGAGCACTATCTGAGTAGTGGAATGATTGGCGATTTTTATCTCCTTGAAGTACTTTCCTTTTCTGTTTTCCAAATTTGTTGTAATCAGTACTTATTATTTAGAAAATAAGAAAGAAGACGTGGCAAAAGTATTAAATTTGCACTTCAGGGTGAGAAATTTGATTTAGCTAAAGGAGAGAATTTTCTGGTGATAATTTGCAGTGGGCCACAAGAGAAAAGGAGCCATTTAAAAAACTTACTGACATCATTTATTCTTGTCCAGAGATAAAGACAGAAAATAATTTACTTCTCAAAATTTCTTCTAAGCCTAAGAGTTCATAATTGTTACTATTTCCTCTTTCTTCTTTCAACTAGAGTTATATACACACCTGGCCACACTGATGATCATATGACCCTACTTTTAGAAGAGGAAAATGCTCTGTTTTCTGGAGATTGCATCCTAGGGGAAGGAACAACCATATTTGAAGACCTCTATGATTATATGAGCTCCCTAAAAGAGTTATTAAAAATCAAAGCTAAAGTTATATATCCAGGTGGGTAATATTATTAATCTAGCAGACCATTTGTGTCAAATGATGAGGAAGATTCATTTTGGTTTGTCTGTGCGTGTTCTTTGTGGTTTCAGCCTTGAAGAGATACATATAAATTGCTTCTTTCTAAATTACACCCCTAAGTCTTGTCTAGCAATACAATTAAAAAGAAGACCGAGAGTTGTATTAATAACTTTTTTAAAAGATATGAGGGTTATTTTTTAACATCTGCACAGCTATTAATAGAACTATTAAACAAATGAAATAAACTTACTGGAACAAGAAAATTTTTTTCATTCCGTAAGCTATCTTCAGTTTTGTTAACTTGATTTCGGTTGTGGACTACATTTTAGCCATGTAACCAACCTTGGGTAACATTTGATGTCTGAGCTTTAGTTTTTTAACTCACTATATGGAAATATCAATAGCTTCTATATCAACTGTAAAATTGTGTACTTATTTCCTTTCTCCAGAAAAAGAAACCTGTTGTTAGTATATTAGCTATCACTGCCCTGCTTTACAGTACAAATCTCTCCTCCATCCTGAAAGCTAAGAAAGATACAGTACCCAACAAGAGGCCCCCAGAAGGAAAAAGAGACTCGATTACTTAATTTTTTAAGTCCTTCCAACTTGTTCCTAACCAAAGGGCCATGGAAAGATCTATAAATACAGTGTCTTCAGTACCTTCATATTCTCTCATGAGTTCCCACTGCTGAGGGGATAGGAAACATACAGTGAGGCTGGGCATTTGGATTAATATTGTGACATAAAAAGAATGGAGGATGACAGCTATTTCGAAAGAGAAGACAGTAGACATTTGATGCACCCACATTGGAGCAAAGCTAATGAGAGCCTGCCCGGTGCAGGTTCTTGGAGTGTTGGCTTTAGTAAATCCAGTGAACTGGCTTATTGGCACAGCAGGACCTCATATGTCAATGACGGTCTGTAGCCATAGCTACCATATATTAAAGCCTGCTACCCTACCCGCCAGGTACTGTGCAGGGACCTTCACAGAGCTGTCCTCACAAAAACCCAGAGAAGGAGGTAGCTGAAGAAATAAACTCGGAGATTCATAGACTATCCCAGCCACACAGCTAGTAAATGATAGTCGGTATCCTGAAGCCCGTGTTCTTTACCTAACAGGTTTGTCTGCTTCTGGTATTTTGTTCTCAACCCTCTTGCAGATTTGTGTAACATATTCATTTTCACTGTCTTAAAGAGTGAGTAAATTCCAATATAACTTTATCCGGGTTATCAAGATTTCTGAATTGCTAGCCTATACATAAGATTCTTAAAGTTCTCCTGTGGTTCTTGTGAATTTTTAATAGCTCTTGGTCACTTACATGAAGCTACCTTTTACATTCCCCTTTTCAATCTTTGATAAGCATAGTGGTTAAGAGCACAGAGTGGTTAAAAGCTCCTGAATCAGAATCCCAGCTCCACCCCTTCTTAGCTGTGTAACTGTAGGCAGATTATTTACCCTCCCTATGCCTCAGTTTCTGCTGTACAAAGAGGATAATTAAAGTATCAGTACCTACTTCATGGGATTCTTGTAAGAATAATGTATATTAAGCATTTAGAGCAATGTCTGGCAAATAATGAACACTCTGTAAATATTACCTATTGATACTCTTGCGGTTACTGTTTTTATTGCTGTATCTTTATTGTTAAATTTTTATTTTCTAACTTTTAATGAACACAGTAATATCTTATATAGATTTTGATATAATTCTCTAATGTTTTTTGGCATTATATGTAATTTTTAAATCTTTTTACCTGTATAGGTTTCCAGATAATTCTTATTTGTCATGTATTTAGTATTTCAATATACTATATGAAATATTTTTAAATAGAGTAAATTAACTTCAGTTGTACTTAAAATTTTTTATCTGGTTGAAATCATTTTTGTAATTATTCTGATGCAGGACATGGCCCAGTAATCCATAATGCCGAAGCTAAAATTCTACAATACATTTCTCACAGAAATATCCGAGAACAGCAAATTCTTACATTACTTCATGAGAACTTTGAAAAGTCCTTCACAGCAATGGATCTTGTAAAAGTTATTTACAAGGTAATTTTCATTCATCTTATTTGTTCAAAGCCACAATTTTAATAGAATAATCTATTCAGTAGACTATAGATGTGGTAAACTCATCACATCCCAGAGCAGAATGAGTCTGTTAATTTTTTAAGTAATGTCACTCGTATGGATTTGAGACCATCAATCTCAACTTTCTAGAACACAGAAGTTAGACAAACACTGGCCTGCAGAACAAAATTAACCATCCTGAGCCATTATTAAGCCTTTTATACTCCACTCTGTAGGGGAGACCATTGCCAACAGCCTGAGGCTTAATCTTTGTTATGATTTGTGTATTATTCTAGCCATCTTGATGATCTGGTGTCCTGACCGGCAGCAAGTAAGGGGCGATCTGCTAGAGACAGCTCCTGGGATAATAGCAGTGAGAAGCAGTAGCAATGCTAACAATAGATTAAAAGGAGAAAGGCCATGAAGAAGAGCATGAGTAGAGTCACTTAGTGTAGAGAGAAAGGGCCCCTCACTCAGTGGTCTCTGAGCACATCACTGTATGACAGCACTGTGTGGCAATCCATCAGTATAATTCAGTTTTTCAGCAAATGTTTATTAGATACCTGCTTCGGGGTTAAGAATGGAATAAGATTATCTGGGTTTTAAAACTCCCACTACCATAACCTGTATGGCCATAAGATACCTGAGAGTATCACTAAAGATGAGCTTGAAAAGGAACCTGGGCCAGTTTCAATTAGTAAAGGACCATAATGTCCCATGGGCCTAATTTATCAAAAACCAGGTATCTCAGTGTGCTTTGTTTTAAAAGGGAGGAATGAATGATTAAAAGGGCTGACAATAATACGTGCCAGGAGCAAAAGGGCAATGTAAATGTTTAAATTCTGCAAAAGCGTTCATTTCCTCATAATACTAAAGTTTAGCCACTCTAGACTTTACGTTGAAACATGGGTAGTTTTTTCTAACCCAAGTACAGACAGCAGAACTCTCTGATAACCCTCACAGATGGGTCATCCCGTGACTATGCAGGCCTCAGAAATGCTTGTTCTGCATTCAGAGATGTGTTCAGAGATGTGTTCACTGCACACATGTGTGAAGCACCTGTCACATATAGAACAGCATTAGGTATTGCAGAGACATTTATTCATTCCACAGATGTTTACTGAATGCCTTCATGTGCCACACACTGGACTAGGTGCAGAGGCACAAAGATGACTACAGATCCCTGCCCTCAAAGGACTCATGGTTTAGCAAAGACAGACATGTTAAACAGATTCTTGTAATTCCGGCCGTATCGTAATAGCTCCCATTTTTGAGCACATTACTATGTGTTAGACACTGTACTAAATGCTTCACATTTACAATGTAATTTGAAGTACTTAATTTCAAGTACCTTGAATTTTCACTGCATAAAGATACTGTTATTCCAACTTAACAGATTAAAAATAGACTCAAAAAGTGTGAGTTAAGTAAGTTTTCCAAGGGCACAAAACCAGCAGATGTCACACACTCAAATGTCAGAAGTCAGATACTCAAATCTTTTGTTTTTCTATCACACCAAGCTTCCTGCAAGGCCCATACACAGTACGTCAGGGCATAAAGGAAAGAGGAGTCATTTCTGCCTGGTGAAGATGCAGGGTGATGAGGCTTGTCCAGAAAAGCTTCAGAAACTTAATTATTGAATCGGATCTTGAAGAAGGAGTAAGGCCAGAGTACAGGAGAAGAGAAGTCATTCTAGACAGAAGGAAAGATGTGTTCAAACACTGGGAGTCACAAAAGCATCGTGTGTGTTTGAAAACCCACAAAGAAAACGCATCTGACTGGAGCCCAGAATGTATATTATAGATGGGCAGGGAGGGGGTCCCAGGAAATGAGGCAAGAAAGGCAGGCGTGGCAGGTCAGGGGAAGCCCTTGGTCGCCATGCTAAAAAAATCTGGGCTTCAGCCAATAAGCTGGGAATGACCACCCAAGGATCTTGGGCAGGGAGTCACATAATTAGACCTAGAAAATCACACTGGTGGATATAATATATGGTACTGGAGCATCAGGGAGTTTGGGGTTGGAGGTTTCTGCTTGGGGATCATTAACACATGATGTTGCGGTGACAAGTTGATCAAGTAAAAAGAGAAAAGAGTCAATGATACAATTCATCATGAACATCAGTACTGAAGAGAAATCGGGAAGAATATCCAGGATGAAGGTGAAACCATGAGAGGTAGAATGACCAAGGGGAAAGAGGAGAGTCCTTCCAGATGGAGAGACTAGCCAGTTGATTTCAAGTAAAATGAGGACTGAAAAGAATTCTTTGAAGTTTTATTAAAATACAATTCAGTGATCTTTGCAAAACATTTTCAGCTGAGAAATGGAGATAGTAAATTTAGTCAAGAAGCTTGACTTCAGGAAAATTCTTATTTAAAGAATATAAGGAGACAGATACTATATGTTACCACTTGTAATGTGGAACCTAAAACATACACCAAACTAGTGAATATAACAAAAAAGGAAACAGACTCACAGCTATAGAGAACAAATTAGTGGTTACCGGTGGGGAGAGGGAAGGGGGAGAGGCAATAAAAGGGTAGGGGAGTATAAACTGTTATGTATAAAAGAAGCTACGAAGATAAATATATTGTACAACACAGGGAATAAAGCCAATATTTTATAATAACTAAATGGAATATAACCTTTAAGAATTGTGAAGCATCATATTGTACTTAACATTAATATTGTATATCAGGTATACGCCAATAAAATTTAAAATATATACTTAGAAAAAAGAGTAAATGGAATATTTATTCTGTTTACCATTCAGATAATAGTTGTCAGTATTACATTACTAGCTTGGCAAAAATAAAGGAAAAATTATGAGTTTTAAGGTGGAAACATACATACTTTTAATAAAAATGTGCAAAGACATTATCATGTAACCTAATAAATAGACCATAGGGCCAGCTGTCTGTAGAATCATCAGAACTACCTACAATAATTTTTATGTTTATTTATTCATTCATTTATAAAATATTGAGTTCCCACTATGTGCCATTTTGCTAAGCACTGGGTATTCAGTAGTGAACAGATGCTGCTACTGTACTGTCTTTATGGCACTTATAGTCTGTTTTCCCTATAAGTATATTTCTAATAATAAAGTGACTCAAAGCAAGACATATATAAGATGAAACAGTGTTGATTATTACTCTATAAAACTGTATTTGAATTAAGACTGTATTATTTTGCCTTTTTTCTTTAAAAGTTTCAAAAAGATTAACTCTGTTCTTTAAAAAAGAAATGCTTTACTTTCACTCTCATTTTTCTTTTAGGATACTCCTGAGCATTTACATAAAATGGCCGAACATAACATCTTACTTCATTTGAAAAAATTAGAAAAGGAAGGAAAGATATGTAAGTATTCTTCCAAATTTTAGTTCTTTTATTACCAGCACTTAAAATATTTGTTAACAAATGAACTAGTTTCCTTTGAGGAAAAACACCACCCACCAGAGTTCTCCCTTGAATGTCACTGTAAGTTGGAGAGACAGTCACTAGAAGGGTCAGTAGCAAAAGGCCAGGGGATCACAAGTTAGAACAAAAGCTTCCACAGGAATGAGAATCTCGCATGGGGGTTTCAGTCCTCACCCACCAGAATGACAGTCATGGGCATGGAGCAGGAAGAGAGCTTCTCCTCTCCCAGACCACATGACCACGAAGGATTTTACATGTACCGATTAGAAGATTTGGGAACATCCAAAGGTCTAGCAGCAGTAAAGGTAGCAAACTCAAAGATATTAAAGCAGTAATTCTATAATTGTTCCCTAGTGTTAATTTGTCAAGTTAATAATCTTAGAAGTTTGATCCTTAAAAAGCAAGAGGTGGGCTTCCCTGGTGGCGCAGTGGTTGAGAGTCCGCCTGCCGATACAGGGGACACGGG